ATCACTGGTTACCTATTATTGGACATGAGGATAATAATCATTAGTGATGCACCGATACCGATACTAATATCGGTATCGGCCCATTTTTATCAAAATCGGTTGATATCGGTATAGCCAAAAAGAGTTACCGATATAAGAATTGTTGTAAAGTATAATGATTCTTAATAAAAATAATAATCACATCCACAAAATGACATGAAAAAAACAGTTTGAGTACAAAGAAAGCAGAAATGCTACTGTTTTTAAGAAAGAACCTACCAATTTTTAACTATTAACATTAATGACACTAATCAATGATTGTTGTTAAGGGTAAAAATTGAATATTTTTGCCCATGGCCAATCACTGGTTAACTATTATTAGATATAAGGATAATAATCATCACTCATAGACTCACAGGTTCCTCTGATTCATGATCTTGATGACCGCTAGATTTGGTAGCTAAAATAAAACATACACTTGAATCTATGTAATGCACCCATTGTACTAATTACCTATGCCAGGAGTAGATGGGGCAACTTTAGTTCGTGTAGATTGGCCATTATCAGCATCATTAGTCTTTGCAGCCTGTTTATCTATAGTAAAACATTATTGTCACAATAATGATAAATAGATCTTCTAAACAGTAAACATACAATTAGCATAGCTTTGAGAAATATTATTGGCTGCTTTCTCAGCAATGAGAGTGTCGATCTCTTTAATGATAGACAAGAATTCGTCAATCTTTTCTGGTAGATCACCAAGAAGCTCAGCCAATCTCAGAACAAATGCTTCTACTCTTTCCCGTAGTGTCTGACCTGATAATCTGTCATTCAATTGAGCTAATTCAAGTGTTGTTATTAGTCTCCTTTCAACACATTTCTGTGCCACTTCACCAAACACAGCTTCATTATTAAGGACCCTATTTAATATTCCTAGGTTATCCCTAATAGCTTTTTGTGCTGAAGACTCAGTTGAAGACATCTCCTGATTCTTCTCACTATAACTAAAACAGGACAGTCCTTTCTCTCGGTTCGATGTGGTGAGGCTCAGGGGAGGTACCCTAATGATTTAATGTAATGAATAGGCTTTTGATAAAATTCATAACTCTAGCTCCAGTGGTGTATCATTGAATTTTTGGACTGAACTATGTCACTTGTTTTCAGCATGCAATCTGGTAGATCATTTTTGTCATAACAATGAAACAAGCTTGCAAGAAGAAACATCGAAAAGAATGCATTTTTGCAGCAATAAAGAAGATCAAAATTATTATCAAAACTACCTAAGAGTAGCATTACAAAAGTATGATGAAAAATACACAATTCAGTTGCCATAATAATTAGAAATAAAAGTTACATTCAAGCTACTTTAAAAAGTAAAATTTTCCCCTCAATGTGCTTCTGATCTCGGGCATTTGATGATACTTGTACGGCAAATTATAATCAATAGGATTCCCTGATACTTTGTAATTAACAAGAAGTAGGAGCTCATCAAGACTAAGTCTTGAAGAATATTTGGGATCAAAATATTCACACAATGCTTTTATATATTGTGAACCAGTGTAGACATCTCTTGCAGCAACATTACCATCAGAAGTGCTAAAACCAAACAAGAAATCAGCCTCTGGTGGTAATGCTCTTAGACTAGCAGAAACCCTCTGCTCTTCTTCATCAGCAACTGCAGGTTCTGGTATGTTACTTCCTCTTGTTGCTTGAAACAAAAATATTTTGGGTTTTCCATGAAGTGCTGAACATTCCTTAGAATTTACAATATCAGCCAATTCAGCAACAGTAACAGTTTTACCATCAACTCCTTCAATTCCTACTGGATTACCATGAGACAGAATGCAACATATGAAACTATCGTGTTTCTTGGTTACTACTCCAGCAGCAATTGCACTAACGTTTGTTCTTATTTCTTCAGCCAGTAAGTCTTCATGAACTATCACTTGATAGTGAAGGCCTTCAAATACTTTCTTTAATCTTTTAGCATCTTCATTTGATGATTCACGATCAGCTTTATCTTTCTCCGTAAAATAGACGTTATTTATAATAAGCACGACTCCATGTTCTCTTGTCTCATTGATATCATACTTGTATACTACATCTTCAGTACCTTTCTTCTTTGAAAACTCCAGTGTACCAGTCATCTAATTTGATGCAATTAGGCTATAGCCACACATTTTTTGTATTATTATCTTACTTCTTTTTTTTTTGTTCTGAATTTTGAGATTCAGCTACATGTATGAAAGTAAACATATATAAAACAATAATGAACACATATAGGACTTGTAATACATGCAGTATAAAGACCATCTTAAATTTTACAATCAAATATGAATCGTACAACAAATGCATACATATGAAAATTAAGCCAATTAAATTTGCAATGGATCAAAATCACCAAAAATATCATAAACCTTACCTGAGTCATGTGATTCATTTTTACTTTCGTTGATAGGAAAATCAGCAGAGTCACTAGTTGATCCTTTAGCAGACACATTATCTAACTGTCTACGTTCACCTATAATGAAACACCTCTGTAACACTTAAGACTCATCATAAATGCTCTTGCTTCAAATATTATACATGTTTAGCAACAATAATAAATTTTATAAACGATGAATATCTTTTCAAGTAAAACACACACACCTTTCTTCAAATTTTCAATTGTTAGTCTTAAAACTTGTTCTTTTTCTGCCAAAAAATTTATAGCTAATTCAAATTTCTACACATAGCTACCTTGTACTAGCTTATCTTTCTCAATTTGTTGTGAATTCATTGTAGTTATTTTCTCTTGCAATAGTTCTATTTCTTTACTCCAAGCGACTAAGGATTTTAAAAATTAATTCTAATTGGTTTAGTTAAACTGACCTTGCTCCTGTTTGATTTTCTCATCCTTTTGTCTTAACATGTTTCTTAAAGTCTCAATTTCAAATGCTATAAATATCTTTACATAAAATAAGAATCATCGTGCTTTTTATTAACTTGTATCGGTTGACTGAAACTTTTCAATTTTTTTTCCTCTTTATCCTCAATATCTAATTAAATAATAAGACATTTTGTATGATAATTATGTACCTCCTTTTTCAGATTGAAATAAAGCAAGCTGCTCTTCTAATATTTTTTTAATTTCATTCAGTTCCTCATTCTCCTATTGCATTATAAATATGAACAGCAAAATTTGTTTCTCACTAACTTTTGTTAAATGTGATAATTTCTCTTGTAGCCCGGCTAAAAATAATTTAAATAGATTGTTGAAAGAACATTAGATACCTGCTAGTTCTTTAAACTTATCATTCTCTACTATATTGGCTCTCAGCATCTTGCGTTTAGCTTCCAGTGTTTCCTTCAATGATGTTGCTTCTTCTTTCATTGCTTTACTTTCCTATGAAATGCATATGCTGATACATGATGTACAACAAAATCTACTTAATAGTAACGTGTCTTAAGTAACCTCATTTAAAGTAGCCACCTCTTCTTCACTGTTAATCAGTTGTACCTTCAGAGACAGCATCAGTTGCTTTGATAAATCACTACTAGGTCTAGTTGGTAATGAGGCACACTGCTGCTTTGTTGTAGGAGTGGAGGCATCATTTACCTGTTGTAACTATAATATAATTCATAAAATACATCCACAGTCTATTTACCTCATACACAGTATAATAGCCAATGATCATTTTCTTCACTCGGTTTTCTTTTAATATGTCAATATTATTAAGAGCAGCTGCTATTAAATGATCAGATAGAATCAAAGGGAAGGAACAAGTGACAGTAAAAGAATTGCCATCTCTAATGACATTTAACCGGACATTTCGTGATAATTTATGAAATATATCCACTGATAATCTCTTGACATCTTTCAACATCAGCTCTTCAGCATTTTCATCCACATCGATGACAATGGTAATCTTTTCACATTGCAGTGGTGAAGCGTATGAAAACTCCCCTTTTAAATATTGACTGAGCTTAGTCTCACTAAATTTCTTAAGAGCTTCATTATATTCTTGAAAAACTTTAGCCAGCCCGTCTATTTCAGACTCATTAACAAAGAACTCTAGCATACTAATATCATTTAGCGAACAATTTTCACTAATTAATTCTAATATGCTACGAATATCTTCACACTTAGCTACTTGAGGTTTCAAGGCTGAATAAGAAAAAATTAATGTATCTTTCATATCTTCAAGTGCTGGAGGGTTTGCCTTTATGATATTCTTCACACTTAAGAATGTTTTGCCAAACTTCAATCTCATTTTCTTAAATTCTGCAATCATACTTTGAGGAAAGTGAATTTTCAACTCTTCAGCTATTAATATTATATAAATTTAAACTTTTAAAATGACTATTTAAGTTTACCAGTGCCAACAGTGCTATTAGTCATTAAAGAATCATTACTGCAAAAATTTTCTCCTATAAAGAGTCATCAGTTTCCTCATAAATAAGTAAGTCTACTTACTGTATTCATTCTTAATGGCCATCCCTATTCCAGCAGTGGCTGTTGCTTTACACAAAATCTCAGCAAATGCTTCAAGTTTGCGATAATCAATACAAACAGCTACCTTTATATCAGTCAACAGAGCTTCCCCATCCTTATTGACTGGCAGCAGCATCATTTCCTTTATTAGCTTCTCTGAATGCAACAATAAAGCCAACTGAGGTAATGAAGCCACAATTTGATTCGAAGCCGTATAACAAGCAAGAATATTACAAGCAGGATGCACTAAAATAAAATCAATATTGGTCGAGCCACTGGTCAGATGGAGGGAGATGAGAAAGGAGAAGGAAGAGAAAAGGACTGTATTTTTGGTAGAGTTTTACAAAAAAGAGAAAAATTATTTTTTAAAATAATGCACAGAAAATTTGTACAAAAAATGAATAATTAGAAGTTCACACTAATATTATCCATGCATCAAGTCCAGACATACCGCCGGCCAAAGACCGAACGGTCTTGAAACATATAACTCATAAACAGAAAATCATAAGGGTAATAATAAGTAAGTACTACGAGTGAACAAAAGAATACAATAGAGAGAGAGGAAAAACATGTATAGCTAGCAAGCATATTCTAAATTAATTTCACAACAATAGTAATGACCTTATATGTTTAGCAGTAGTTAATTGTCTTCCACTGGTAATAATAACACGATCTTGGTGATTGGGCGTCTGTATTGTCCCTTTGAAGTTTTCACATCAACGACTCTGATATGTCCATCGTTGCCCACATGTACATTAGTAACACGAGCAAGTGACCAATTAGTAGGAACTACATTCTCCTCCCGTATTAACACTACATCTCCAATCCTCACGTTACGAGTGGGACGTTTCCACTTGTTAAATCGGTTCAAATGTATCAAGTATTCAGTTGACCATCTACTCCAAAAATGTCGGACAATTGCTTGACATAACTGCCAACGACGTAGCAATGTAATGGATCGATTATAGGATGAAGGAGGATCAGGAATGGACATAAGTGGTCGTCCTATTAAGAAGTGGCCAGGTGTCAGTACCTCAATACCATCATTATTACTGGAGGGAATGCTTGTTAATGGGCGACTGTCA